ATCATGTGAGAACCAATATTTATTGCCCCGTGTACGATCAGGATTGAAGGCTTGAATAACCTTTCTTTATTACCCTTATTCTGCCACGTGTCAAACTGTAACTGACTTTTACAAAATATGTAGCCAACAGTACCATACACATAATGAAATAGAAAACCAGAGTAACAAGCAATAAGAAAGTCCACAACACAACACAATCAGCTAAGCTTTTTAAATCAACGTGAAAGTGTTTTGTTGTTTATGAGAAATGGTACGTTCACACATTGGTACACTTTCATTAGTCTCCAATGACATTATATTTAGGTTGTAATGTTAACCCACATTTGTAATGTTGTCATGTTTTGTGCGTGTTACGTTTAGTTGTATTTTTTTTTTGAATTTGTATTGTGACGTTATTGTATTCAGTATTTACGTACGTGTCACATTACGTTTCGCAAACTTACTAAGTTTTTGATTTTTTAAATTGAATGTGAAAATATCGCTTGTTCGTGTATTTTGAAATTCAAATTCACGTTTATATAGATATGATTTATGGTAACATTCAATTTCCTTTATATGGTTTTGCCATTATAGAATATAATAGTATATTAATACCATTTATTTACAACTCATAGGGCTTTGTGGAATATATTCCTATCTAAATAGGATTTGAAACTCTATAAGAAATTACACAGGACTTCATATTAAATAAGTTTTTCTAATGGGACTTATAAATAATTTTCTCTTAAAATTATAATTGATTGGATAATTATGAAAATATATATATATAAATTAAATATAATATTTTATCTTATTAATTATTTTAATTATTTATTTTAACCAAATAATATATAGTCAAACAAAACTTATAAAATTGGAAAATCCAAAAACATAATCAAATACAGTGATCCACGCTATCATAAAGAACAGGAAAATAATAATGTGGCCCACGGCGGCAGCAATATTCTATTGAGGGCCGTGATATATAGGAACGGAAATAGAATAATTAGCTCCAAAAAAAAAAAAAAAAACTAATATATTTCTTTATTTATGAAAGATCAAATTTTATTTTTTTTTTGTCTCTACATGTGAAAATTTTCAATTGATATACTGAATATGACCCAATGTTAGACCTAATTCTTCATTCCAAGCCTGGTTTTAAGATTTTGTTTATTTTGTATTGCGTCTAAGCCTATCATTTCAACAACAAAAACATAAAAAAATATTTAAAATTTAAAAAATATTCACTAAAAATAAAAAAAAAAACACGAAAACTAAAAAATTCAGTTTTTAAAAAACTTAATATAAAAAACTGAAACCAAACACATTGAATATAGTTCTTTATTTAAGAATTGTTTAGAATCACCTAAGTATATTTTTAATATTTTATAAAAAGATATAAATAAAAGTAGAGAGGTTATGTGATTCAAATAAGATAAAAAGATATTAAATAATTCCATAATTTAAATTTAATTTTTTTTATTTAAATTATCAGTTATTTTCGTTAAATAAATTTTAATTATTAAACTCAATGTAAAATGTCTACAATAATCCTTTTTGTTGAGTTTAATAATTAAAATATTAATTTTTTTGTTAATTTTACTTAGCAAAAATAAACATATAATTTAGATTTAAAATAAATCAAATCATTAAATTTAAAATTGATAAAATTAAAAATTAAAAATTTATTATGTTACAAAGATAAAATCTTGTATTTTTTATTATTATTCAAGTGATATGATTGATTAGGACCGTTTGGGATACACATTTAGGCTAAAATAGTCACATTGGACAAAATTAATTATTTTAACCAGATATGACAAAATGTCACATCTAACCCATTATCATTTTATTTTTTCTCTCATAAAAGTCAAAAAAATCTATCTAAAACGAGACTTTTTAATCTCAAACTTAACCAAAAAGCCAACTCACATCCCAAACAAACTCTATGTATGAAAGTTAATGTTTTTAACACTTTAACAATAATAGTACAAGTATCGTAATTGCATTGATTAACTATGTTTAAATTAATTATAGAACGTGCTACACTCTCATTATATTCTTATCAAATATTTTAAGTGTACCAATTTAAAGATGAAAAAAAAATCAAATTGATGAAAAAATTTATAAATTTTAATTATTAAAATTATAAAGTTTTTCATCCGTGTGTAATTATTTTTGAACAATTGACCTGATTTGTAATTTTTTTAATTAACAAAACCCTTTCATTATAGCATTATTGCAATCCAAATCACACAACTTAAAAAATAAAAAATCATAAAGGACCAAGAGGCAACTTGAGTTAGATACCTATACGACAAAGTGCCGACATTACCACGCAGTAACAGATGGTCGTGCACTTTCACTTCCAATTAGGCATTTCAGGCAAATAATTTAATTTTTTTACTAACTAATACAATGTTGTAACAAAACATATGATAGATGCAACAAAATTATTTATTAAAAAACAAAAAGGAAAAAAGAAAAGAAGAAGAAGAGAGGAATAGGTATCATACACATAATGAAATAGAAAACCAGAGTAACAAAGCAATAAGAAAGTCCAAAACACAACACAATCAGCTAAGCTTTTCCTTCTTCATTCATGAAATAAGCCACTCTCTCCAGCATAGCCACAGCTTGGTCACAAGTCGGGTTAAACAAATGGAACACATGGTTCTCCCCCACAGCCTCCATAACCTCCACCACTCCTCCCCACCCACTCTTCTCCAATTCCTCCTTGTAATACCAACCCCTATCCTTCAACATATCTTGCTCAGCTACACATACCAACACCTTCTTACAACCCAAGCTCGAAAATTTCGGATCCAAAACCGGGTTGAATAACGGGTCATCATGCCCACTTGACGACGGGTAAACAAAGAGCCACAGTTTGTGAGAAAGCTCCTTCCCAAAAATGTTATTACATTCAGCACCAATTGGGTCCTTTCCTCCAAAATATGGATGGACTAGAACAGTCCCAACAAGCTTCATCCCATCTAGCCCTTCCAACCCGACCCGAATGCTCATGTTGTGTGCTATATTACCCCCTGAGCTATCTCCTGAAAAAAAGACTCGATCAAAATCAACATAGTCCTTTAGCCATACGTCGCCACCACTAGTGGTCGAGTGAGAAGCAACCCACTTGACAGCGGCCCAAGAATCATCATACGGGATTGGGAGAGGGTGCTCCGGGGCTCTTCTAAAGTCAACAGAGACAACAACTGCATTGGCTTTGGCAGCGAGTGAATTGAGATAGGTTTGGTATGTGGGAGAGAAGGCGGATTCAATGCAAAAGCCACCACCATGGAAGTAGACAAGAAGAGGAAGTTTGTGATCTGGGTTGGGGGTTTTTGGGATGTAGAGTCTTGCAGATAAGCCAGTCTCTGGATCGATTACCACATCTTTGGATTGGACTCCAGTTTCTGGATTGGTTGAGGGAGGGACTATATCGGTACCCATTAATCTTTCTACTCTGCCATCTCTGTATACTCGAAACCCGAGCAGTGTGAAATCGCTGACTACTTCCTCAGCTGCATTTGAAGCCATGGTGAAGCAAAGAAATTGAGCAATGAGGCTTGTGTTTGTTTTGTGAAGTATAGTATATAATGAAGTGTGTGGAGTTATATACGATGATTGGGTGATTTTTGTTTTTATTTGTTTGAATCAATTTTGTATAGTATCGGCGTGTTTGACACGATATGTCTGGAACATTTTTAAAAATTATACTTTTATAAATTTATTATATGTCAACTATGTGAATAGCTTATTCAGAGGTAATGAAAAAAAACAAAATAACACTAATTAAAATTAAAAGGTTATAAATTTCATAACCTAAAAACATCAATATATCAATCACATGACAATTAATTGCAATATAAAGAATGCAAAATAATTGTAGAATATAGAAATACAAATGATGAATTCATTTTATTAATATTTGAAAATATATTCAGGTTCCACACGTAGAGCCCACATTTAGGTTCCACACACATGTTGTCAAAGTAATCGGGACACCATCCAGTATACCAATTACACTAAAATAATATCCACGAACTGAAATTACAAGCGCACAACCACCAATCAAACATTTCGCAAATGCACTATAATTTAAAATATTCCTTGGCACTTTTAACTCAATATTTTAATATAAAAATCAAAAAATCATTAAAAAAATCAAAAAAATATAACAACTTAAAAAAAAAAAAAGTCAAATATTGTTTTTTCTCTATACTTTTTGTACATTTTTCTGTAAAAAGTCAACAAGTGATCCCAAATATAATTTTTTTACCTTATATTTTTGTCAAAAAATAAAAAAAAAATTACTAAAATAGCATGTTAGGCAGAAAGTTACATATAACTCTAAAACAGGGAAAATTACTCCCTCCAGTGTTTCTGAAATTTTAAAAATTAGAGTTCTAAAAGGAACGAAATGCTCAAGGATTGCTTGCGCATATTTACATTATCTCCATATGGAAGAAACTGAAAAATAAAATAAAATAAATTGATGCATAAATAAATGTAATTTGGTGACACCTATAACAGAAAATTGTCGATCATATGTTGTATCACATCAGCTCCGGCGGAATTCACACAGTAAGTTTTTACCTGCACGAGCAGAACAAAAGAAAAAGGTCACTCATTAGAAATGTTGATACTACTATCTTTCCCAAACAAGAAGAGATGATAAACTACTTTCTTTCTCTTTTATCTCACTCTTATACTATCCAAACAAGAAGAAGATAAACTAGTACTACTATCATTTCTTTGTTTACTTCTCTCCTATTTTGCCAAATGGACTGAAATCTGATTGTGCTGACCCTCTTTTATCTGGAGGGGAATTCAAACTAGAGAGTTCCAATCCATTCTTTTCTTGGTTCACATCTTAGCTCTTTGTGCTTGCATGTTGGGGCTCCGAACCTAACTGAAAATATCATTTTTTTGAGCTCTATTTCATATTTTTTTAAGGGTCTCTCACTGTTTGAGGCTCCCTTTTTGCACTTGCTTCATTACCTCCTTTGTATGCCATTTTCTTACATATTATTTTAGGCCTATATGTAAACTGTTTTGAGCTCTATTCCAAACTGTAAAGTGGCTTATTTTGAGCCCTTATTCAACATTGTTGAAGGGCTCATCACTGTTTGAGGCTTCCATTTGCCACTTACTTTTATATCCCTCTTTTGGCCTTATTTTTGCATGATTTGTTAGCCCTTTGTGCTTATTTTTTTCGGCCCTGGTCCAAACTATAAATAGCCTTATTTTGACCCTCTCTTCATGTTTGATCAAGGGTCTTTAGCTGTTTGGAGCCTCCTTTTTGCTCTTTGTGTTTAAACCTCTTTTTGGGCCTTATTTTGCATAGTATTTTAGGCTTGCATGCGCACTGTTTTGGGTTTGATCATAAACTGTAAAATGCCATGTTTTGGGTCCCTCTTAAACATTGTTGAAGGACCCTCTTCTGTTTGGGGCCAGCAGCTGTGACTTGCTTCTTTATCTCACATTTAGGGCTTTTTTTTGCATATCGGTTTAGCCCTATTTGTGTTCACTGTTTGGCCTTGCTTAAAACTATAAACATGTTTGTTTTGGGACTGTCTTGAATATGTCTTCATGCTTCATGTTCAAATAATGCATGCTTTGTATAGCTGTAGGCCATTGCGCATGCCTAGTTTTGCATTTCGGGTCCCATTCCATGCATCGGGTGCCATATTGCCATGATTCGCGGCAGTTTTGCATCATATTTTGGTACTAAAATTTGCATGTTTGCATGCCATATTCCATGCCTTGTCATGCTTTGTTAGAGTGGCATTTGTGCCTTAGGATCGGTCCTCGGTTTGCATGCATGCGT